GGGTCTCGGGAGAAGACGGGATCCAGGACGGGAGGACCGGTGTTAGATAGAGTCAAAATTAGGGTGCGTGGGGTCGCGGGAGAAGACGGGATCCACGACGGGGGACCGGTGTTAATAACGGTGCGCTAATTACACCTGCGTTAAGCGCCGTAGCGCTAAGTATGATTAGGGTTTGATTATGTGTCGCCCGGCTTGACTGAGCTTCTCCATCCCGGTACTTTTGGCCATGGTGGTAACTATCAGAGTTTTCCAGGGCAGTTTGTTTTTTCCAGATCCTTGGAAAGTTAACGGCCCTGGGCTAATACTGGGGCGGGGGGTGGGCTCCCGCTGTCCAAGGCCATGGAGAGGTCTACGGGCAGGACTGACAGGAGGAAGCTAAAGCTGCTCACTACCCGGCAAAGGCTGGGCATCCTCGAAGAAGCCTGGTAATTGTCCCTCTCGCACCTTTAGGAAGGGGCTTTTTTAGTAGATGCACTGGTTTTGTCCTTATTTATTGAGGCTTTACTATTAATAACCATACGAATTGCTTGTAACTACGATTGGTTGTGTGTTTTGTTGTCATTTGCACTCGTCATCATGGCGGAAGTTCAACCCGGGCAGACGCTCCCTCCTGCTCTAATGAGTCAGCAGGAGAAAGACAGGTTCAAAGAAATCCTCTTTGACTGCTACAACGAGGGAGTTCTCCCTGACTCACTCAATCCTGAGCACATTGAGGTAAGGGAAGATTTTGTCGAAGTTGTGGTCAGCCCCACACTCTACGCTGTTCAGGAAGAATGGTTGAACGAGAATGTTGTGTCTGTCCTTTTGGGGGATGACTCGAAATCCCTACCGATCTCAGTTAAAATGTGACTTATTCGTATTTATGAAAACAGTTGGGCTAATAACAAAGAAGTCCAGGTGCCCCCCAAACGGGGGGTATTTCACAATGCAGGTTTTAATGTAATCGCTTATGTAGCGTCTGCAAAAGGGATTGCGGAATGGATGCGAAGAAAGAAAAAGAGGATAAAATTGAGTTGGATGGGAAAATCTATAGAGTCTCTTTTCGCCCCAGGATGTCTGAAAACGAGCTGTTTGAGTGGAGGGAAGCTCACAGGTATAGGTTCTTTTGGGTCAGATGCATGTATGTCCCGATGGCTGCCTTGCCTTACCTGGCTACAGCGGTCAAGAAAGCTTTCGGGAAAATTCTGAAGATACATGACACCTACTCCGATCCAACGTCCCCCGAGCACGTCAATGTTCGTTTTGACTTAGAACCTGGGGCTCGCATCCGATATAAGCCATATTTTGTGATTAATATGAACAAGGGGGGGTATGTGGAGTTAGAAGTGGTCCATGCCCAGACCCCCTGGTGCAGGAGATGTTGCCAGCATTTTCACTCTGAAAAGGATGGCAATTGCCCTGCAAATAAAGGGCAGAAAGCCCAGAACCAGAAGGAGAAGAGCAAGGGCTCGAAGAAGGATGATTCGTCAGAAAGCTCAGGAGGGGGGAAGGGGAAGGGGGAGAGAGAGGGTAGAGGGTGGGAGAAGCAAACAGAGAAGGAAGCAGAGAAGGGGAAGGAGATTCCTGAAAAAAACGATGATCAGGAAAAGACAGGTGGAAAAACCGATGAGAAGGCAAAAGAACAGTTGGCCGATGGCAAGAAGTCCATGGGTCAAGAGGAGAAGAAAGGAGAGGGAGTCCTTGATAAGGATGACGAGGCAATGATGGAGGTGGAGGAGGTGCATGCTACAGAGAAGAAGACCAAGGAAAACCAGGGAGAAAGAGAGACAGAGAAATCAAACCCTCCTCCTTCCTACAAAGAGGTTCTACACAGACCACCGCCAATAGCCAAGACAAAGAAGAACAAAAATAACAACAAAGCGGCTTTAAAGAACAACAGTCCGACAAAGGAGGTGACGGTCGTTAAGGAATGGAAACGCAGTGATTCTCGAAAGGCTTCCTCCTCCAAGGCCCACAAGGAGACTCGGGGGGGAGACCCTACCTCGCAGATCGAAGCGCAGGGTAATGAAGTCGACACGCAAGGGACGAAGAAGGATGAAGTGGGGAAGCAAGGGGGTCATAGGGTTGGTAGGAAGGAAAGCTTGGAGGGGCCAAGGGGTCCAAATTACGGTCGCCAATTCTGCAACCCTCTCCGTTGGGAGATAGGGTTTATGGGAAAAAACTTCCCTCCCGAATGCAATCAAGGGAGAAGTCATTGGAAAACGGGGAAAATGAAGGTGGAACTACCCCCCCCCCCCCCCCGGGCCCTGTTCTGAGTCCCCTGAGCTCCGACTGTCAGAAGTTAAACGGTCAAATGATAGGTCCTAAGGCAGGAGCGATATCCACGCTGGTTCACCCCACCACGGGGCATCTGCAGAACTGCTTGATCTGCACCAATGAAACATATAATGTTCCCTCCTCAGACGATGAATTGGAAATTAGGAACAATATGCAGGTGTTGTCGGCGGTAATTAACGATAAAATGACGTTAAGCACAACAAATCACCGAGTTTTGCCCCCCTTCTCTGGGGAGGAGAATGGGGATAAAGACAATTCAATTTTTTATTCCCATTCGGAAGGAGGGTCAGACAAATCGGAAGGAAGGGGCAGCGGTTGGGACGAGGAGGAGAATAGGGAGGAAGGGATTTCAGAACCTCCTTTCCCCTTTCCATTAATCTCTCAACCCCTGCCTCTCACCACCCGAAACCTCAGTAACCCACAACTCCAGTTCAAACTTCCACGTAAGTCAAAAGACCGAGAATAGAATACCTAAAATGCCAGGCTCGTTTAATGGAAGAGGAAACATGATGTGCTTCAGAAGATATTGTCAGAAGATCCCCTCGGAAAAGGGGCAGGGTCCAGACGCTTAAAACAACGCGTCGATCCTTAGATTTGTCTGCTCCAGTAAGGACATTTACAAGAGGAGAGAAGGCTAAAGGGCAGGTGTCTAAATACCTAATTCCTCTCATTTGTGCCCATGATGGCCTTTTCCCCAAGTTTCTCACCACCATGGGAAAGGATGAAGCATTAGTCTTACCGTCAATTTCGTTACGAAGCTCCCCCTCCCCATTGATGGTGTGTAACTTAGTAAAACTTCAACTCTTACAAAGCTTGGGGGAAGTTGGCCTGCTTCCGGAACCAAAAATAGTCCGAGACTTAGTAGATACACCTGAGGGTGGGAAGGTGCGTTTGCTCTTCGTCTTTCTGGACCTGTCCCATATATGGATAATAAAGAAAGATGAAATGATCTTAAGATCTATTGGGTTGAGCTGTCACATCTTGACACCTTAAAGAGTATCAGGCTTGTTTTGGGCATTTCTGCACAAATTGTAGCAAACTAGTTAACCTTGTTTGACAATCGGGCGTTGATCTTGGCAGACTCCTTTGTCGAAACCCTCATGAAAAGGAGGGTGGGTAAAAATCTCAATTTCAAGGTAGGGGAATGTGTGTCACCCGTGGCTTCTTCCTCAGAGAACTCCATAGAAGAAGTTGTCCGCATCCAACACTGCGGCTCAGAGACCAAGGATGGTCCTACCCAATAGGATCAGACTGACAACCTGGAACGTTCGTGGTTTGGGTGATCAAAATAATAGATATAAAAGGCAACGTATAGCTTCCTAGATACACTCACAAAAAGTCCAAATTATTGGGCTCCAAGAGACCAAGATGGGATCTGAGAAAATGGGCGACATTTTAAATTGGTGGAGAGGCCCCCAAATCTGGTCTCTAGCAGTGGGGACCAAGGGGGGAGTCACCATCCTCATTTACAATAATTTAGAGGTTGACATTATAGATTCCTGCGCTAACCCTGAGGGCCGATGGACATGGATGAAGGATATCGTCTCAACTAGACGCCCTTATAACTCCTTTGATACAGACATGTCGGAACATCATCCATTTTGGGAGTGTGTTACTAACTGTATTTCTGTGCAAACTAAAGTAGACTTAGATAGTCCAATTACATTGGAGGAGGTAACACAGGCAACTCGTCAAATGGCCAAGGGTAAATGCCCTGGCCCGGATGGCCTCCCAATTGAGTTTTTTCTTATCGACTTGGGAAACCTTTGGGCAACGTTTCTGCGATATTTATAATAAGACTCTTTCCTCGGGAACTCTGCCTAAAGGTATGGTTAATGATATGATTTTCC